AGTCCTGCGAAATACTGCGATCCTCACCCAGTGAACCAGGAAATGCGACACCATCACAACCAGAGCGAGACGCCAGGAGGGGTCCTCGGGTGGTGTGGCCCTCACATCTCGCTCGAGACATACCCTATCCCCAGCTCGGGGACGGGTCGTGGAACCCAACACTGGAGGTCACCCCTGGCGATGTTGGTGTCGCCCCTCCTTTCCCCGATCACCGTCCGGGCGGGACGAACGGTGGGGTTAGCGAATCAGCCCGCGTGGCTGATTCTCCGGGCGCCTCCCGGCGTCGGAGGCGCCAGTGTCTCGAAGAGAAGGCCTGGCGGCGAGGCCGAAACCAGCTCCCGTATGCAGCAGGTTCAGTGTGACCCCTCGCTGTTCCCCCCCCCCCCCCCACCCCGCGTCGTCCGACCCAAATCCACCCCTCCGTACGGATACCCCTCCTCCCTGGACCCTCTTGCGGGGGGGGTGCGCTCGGACCAAACTTTCGAGGCTGCTCCAGCCAATGGCGGCGACGGCACCCCAGGAAGCCCCGAGTTCGAAAACAGAGAGGTGCTAAGGGCATCGTCGGATCCTCCCTTCCAGCCGGCCTGGCAGTCCTCACCGCGACCCTTTGGCTGCCTGCCTTTGCCGCCCCGCGTGCTGCCGAGCGGTCTGGCCGGCACGGCCGTTTGGCGTCCGCCCGACGCCCCGCACGGCTCGGCTCGCAGCGGGGCAGGGGGGTGACACCAGCTGGGGCGCTCCACGGCATCAGCCCTGCGAAAAGGTGCCCCTCGAGGGGGGGGAAGTAGAGGAGGACGGTTGGGAGCAGAAAAGGAGGAGGAGGAGGAGGGGGAGGAGGACGAGGAGGAGGAGGAGGAGGAGGAGGAGGAGGAGGAGGAGGACAGGGAGGGGGAGGCGGAGGGCAAGCTACGCTCGCTCGCGTCATATCTGACGTCGTAGCCCTCTCTCCCATCCTGTACCATGGCGTAGATGTCCTCTCTATTCGCACGGTCGGATGTCGAGAAGGACAATGATCCCATGAGGGTGCGCGATGCATCGTAGAACACGGCATAGCAGAGCGTAGATAAGCACGGCAGAGCGTAGTATGTCATAGCATGGCGTGGCGTTGCGCAGTGAGAATTGCATCACGAAGCATTGCAACGCAAAGAATGGCGTCGCACAGCGGCACATAACAGATGATGGCATAGCATGGCGCTGAAAACCAAAGCGTAGCATGGCATAGCATGGCGTGGCACTGCGTAATCAAGCACTGCATATCCTAGCATTGCAGCTGAAGGCATGGCATCGCACAGCGGAACACCACATAGCATTATATTGTATTCCGTGGCATGGCAGTAGAAATAATGACGCCGGCGCCGATCGGGAGCACGATTCGGAACGAGCGGAAGCGCGGAAATGAAGCCAGCGCTGCAGCGGGAGCACGATTCGGAACGAGCGGAAGCCCGAAATTGAGGCCAGCACTGCAGCGGGAGCAACATTTTGGAGAAAAAAAAAAAAAACGAAAATCCAACTCACAGGAATCCTGCAAGTAAAAAACAATACACGGAGGGGGGCCGAACATCTTCCGGACGCCATCAGGGGAGAGAGGAGAGTAGTATTCATATTGTGTAACTTTGGTGGGGGAGGAGGAGGAGGAGGAGGAGGAGGAGGAGGAGGAGGAGGAGGAGGACGAGAGGAGGAGGAGGACGACGAGCAGCAGCAGCGGGGAGGAGAGGGAGGGTGAGGAGGAGGAAAACTGGAAACTAGTGGGGGGGAGGGGGAGAGGATGATTTTGATAAATTATTCGTTTGAAGAGTATTTGTGTGACCTCTGGCGTGGGTCCACGCCACCATGGCTGGATTCGCCCCGAGGTTATGATCAGAACGCCCTCCTACACAGGTCCAGGTGACGTCGAAGGACGACGACGACGAGGAGGAAAAGGAGGAGGAGCAGGAGGTTGGAGCGTCACAAGGAGCGGCACGTCGTGTCCTCATCATCGCCACAGCTGCCGCGATCGGAGAGTACCGCCGAAGGGCACTTCGACAGCCTGCAAGGCAACACGAGCCAACGAGTTCGAAGCTATCGAACAGAAGGGGTGGGCCAGACGATACAAATTGAAATGAAACTCGACGTTGGTGGGCCAGACTGACAAAGGTTTCGGGTGGGGGGTGGATCAAGCCCAAAGCGAGGAGGGGGTCCACAAAAGGGGGAGCAGGAAGACCATATTATAACTGTCTACAAGCAAGCGCATACATAGGCGAGCAGTTACAGAAGCAATGCCTCAAGGAATCGCGCTCCCCAGGTCACCCCCAGACGCAGACCCTATCATACGGGTCTCGCATCCTCGACTCGGAGATCCAACACCCTCCTCATGTTTTGATGCAAGCACTTCGCCAGGATGGCGGAATTTGTTGCATCACCGAGACGACGGCCGACCAATCAACCCCAGCAGCATCGGCCCCGTGCACCAAAAACCAAAGGCAAAGGCGGAAGGCCACACGGCGAGGTAAGCGGGGTGGGGAGCAGAGGGCCGACGGGAGGACGACGGAGAAAATCGATGGCTTGCGGCCGCAGACGCGGCGTCGGCGCGCTGCGACCACGGCCCACGCCCCCGTGGCCCGGCGTCGTCAGCTGCGGCGGGGGCGGCACGGTTCCCTCCTAAAAGGGCAGGAGGCCCACCGCCGTCGCCGGCGCGCTGCACGTCGTCTCGAACTTCAACGAGCTGCCCGCTCCCGCGGGCTGGCGTCGCCAGCTCCGGCCGCTCGCGTGAGGGCGATATGGCCATCGCCTCGGAGCGCCCGCAAGAGGGCCACGGCAGGCCGCCGAGAGCCTCAGGACGCCATAGGGGGAGGTGCCTGCGGGCAACACACTGCGCGAGGCCATGGCCTCTCTCGGAGCTCCGGCACGGGAGAGCCGAGCCGCAGAGCCGCGCGGAGGAGGCACACGCCGTCGGAGCCGAGGCGGGGCCGACGGGCCCCCGCACCTCGGGGAGCTCGCGCCACTCCCGGGCCGCCAGGGGAAGAGCCAGGGGGCCGGAAGCGCGTCGGCAGCAGGGAGCGCTCGCTCTTCCTCGAGCCTCCAGCGGCGACGAGGCGGAGGAGGAGGCAGGGGAGGAAAGGGGGGAGGGCAGGAGAGGAGGGGCTGGCGAGGTGGCAGGGCCGAAGGGGCCCGTTCAAAAAGTTGAGGCCCGCAGGCCGCTACAACAGATCCGAGAGGAGGGCCGGGAACCCGGCCCTCGAAAAAAAAAGAGAGCGAACAGCGCGTGGCGGGGCTGACATGGGCGAGGAGGACAGATGGGAGGGACCAGTTCCGGGGGGAGCATCGAGCTTGAATCAGCGATACATCACTGACAGGTCGGCCAGAGGCCCCCGGTCGCGAAACCGCGGGGTGGGCTATCAGGCCCCCATCGGCGATCCGTGTGCAATGGGGGGTCGACGCATTCCCCCCATGAGCCTACAGTCCTCGTGCTACCATGAGGATATGCACAAGAAGGAACGGAGGGGCTTTTCTGGCCACAGCGGGCCTAGGCCACAAACAGGCTCCACGACATAGGTCTAAGGAACGGCCCAGAAGCCCGAGCCCCTCCTGAGCCCGAAACGGTCCTTACTGTAGCGTCTTGACTGCACTGCATCCCGCCCCCCCAACCCAGACCCCCGACGTCATGATTTTTTCATGGCGCGACCCCCAGAGGCCTGGACCCATGCCCCCGGACCGGTTTCTCATCCTCAGTCGTTTTTTGACGGTCCCGAGTCCCGGTGAGGGCCCCCAGAGGCCGAAAATAGCGAAAAACCTCCCGCCGTGATTTTGTTCGTGGCGCAAGGGGCTCTGGGCCTGCAGGCCCCCATCTCGGGAGGCCGCGACCTCGCTGCGTGCGCGGGGCTTCTTCCGGAGGCGCTGGTAGGCAGCGCCCCCCAAGGCCCGAGCCCCCGAGCCGGGCCCGTGGAGGCCTGCCCGTGGCGGCGGTCCGCGTCCTCCTCCCCTGCCAGGGGCAGCGTTCCCAGACCCCCTCGCGCCAGGAAAAAATCGCGACGGGAGGTTTTCCGCCATTTTCGGCCTCTGGGGGCCCTTGCCGGGACTCGGGACCGCCAAAAAACGACTCAGGATGAAAAACCGGTCCCGGGGGATGGGTCCAGACCTCTGGGGGTCGCGCCATGAAAAAATCATGGCGTCGGGGGTCTGGGTTGGGGAGTCTGGCAATGGCGGCCAGCTCCTGGGACCCCGAGACCCAGGCGTTGTAATTTCTTCACGCCCGGCCTATTCGCATGGTCTCGGGATCCAGGAGCATCCCAGATCGATCCGGGCTCGAAACAATGCCGCAGAGAGATGGGGTCCTGGGCTCCGGTCGCGATCTTTCGCGATGTTGTATCTCAGGGGACGAGCGGGTTCCAAGACCCCCGCAGCCCGACTTGTCCGAGAGACATGGGCAGCGGACATCTCGACCCCATCCTGGGAACTGGCTCTTGTTGCCAGGTCTGTTCCTGTTGTGGGGCGACGAGGTCCAAACAGATCCCCCGCCCCAGGCCTGGCACATCCTGGGCCCAGGAGCGGTGTGTGCGCTCTCCTGGATTGGCCAGAGAGGCGTATTACACCGCCCCTGGGCCCAAGCCTGGGCCAGGCCTGGGGCAATGGATACGGTCGGGAGCTTTTGCTTAACTTGTCCGGCGGCACGCTACTTATGCCTTGCAAGCGGACGGCACGTCGCTTCGCCTCGCGAGGCGGGAGGCTCGGAAATGCTCGGGACGCTGACGCCTGGCGTTTGGGACTAGGGACGTGGTTAGCGCGTCGCGTTGAAACGTGGGGAGCCAGACCCTGCGGACCGGCACGCTGAGACAAAATGCAGCACCCGATGCAGCGATCCTGTCGCCCGGTATGAAGCGCCCCGGGTTCCGACGCGGGACACCGGACTCTGATCACCGGACACTGGAAAGGTTTGTGGATGCCACGACAATGGACACCCTAACAGTCCTATCATCGAATCAAAAGTGTGTTTAACATGTCGGAAAGTGTCCTGGAAATGATTAAAACGTGTTCTTTTACATGTTCAAAGCAGTTTTACCACATTGTCTAGACATCTGGAAATCATTTGGCAACATGCTTCCTCTCCATTGATCGTCCTCCACAAGGAATGTTCAAATCACGACCGACCGCCCAAAAATTTGCGAGTTACTTCAAGTTCGACTCGCCTCAAAATCGATCGCGACCGATCAGTCGCGACCGACCAGTCGCGATCGGTCACGACCAGTCGCGACCGACGTTGGAATCGGTCGCGATCGGCCACGACCGATTTGGAGTGCCGATCGGCCGCTACCGACCGCGACCGAAAGAATCTGGTATCCAGTGATGTTAGAGGCCTCTCAGATGGGGTCCGAGTAAATTGGGTCGGAGGATAGCACCACATCGCCAACACATCGGCGATGCATCGCCGATGCATTAGCGATGCATCAGCGATGCATCGGCGACGTCGGCGATGTATCGGCGGCGCCGGCGTGGAGAAAATCGGGCTCCACATCGGGCCGCATCGCCGATGCATCGACGATGCGGCGCGATCCTCCGACCCCGTCTACTCCGACCCCATCTGGGAGGCCTAGAGATGTGGGGAGGCCGGGACCAAACAGGGAGACGCCGGGACTCGGGCATGAATTAAGGGGGGGCGATAAATGAGGGGAAGAAAAAACGCGCACCTGTCGTGCCCCTTTTGGGTTCCAGGGGGACCCCTTGAAGCCCCTTCAGGGCACAATAGGCGCACCGGTCCTCACACCCCATCCATATTGCCCCCCCCGTTACTCGACGCCCGAGGGACTGGAAGAATGACGGCGCCGGAATTCTGGGCTGGTCGGCGTCTAGTGCGCGGTCTCCGGCCGCGGGCCGGGAGGCGCAGGGCGAGGGCGCCCGCTGCAGGGCCGAGCGGGTCCGCGCGCCCACGGCCGCGTTGACGGGCGGCGCGTGTAACGGCGCTGGGGAACTCGCAGAAGGGAGTAGCGGAGGCAACTCCTTCTTCTTATCTTCAACTCCTTCTCCTTATAGATAAGTTCTCCCTGTCGCACCCCGAGGCCAGTTTTTAGGGCGGGCCGGGCGTTTCGCCTGAGATTTCCTAACCACTTATGACCCTGAAGCTTTAAAATGACAACAGCTTTAAATATGGAGGGCGGGTCGTTTTCAAAATGCAACTCTCGCCTTAGCGCCGCGCACATTCGTTTAAAACACGGTAAGAGCTTCACGGATTGCGGGCGTGTCGCATACAAAATGTGGCTCTCGCCTTAGCGCCGCGCACATTCGTTTTGAAACATTCGCAAGAGTTTCACGTATTGAGGGCGGGTCGTTTACAAAATGTGGCTCTCGCCTTAGCGCCGCGCACATTCGTTTTAAAACATTGCAGGAGTTTCACGTATTGAGGGCGGGTCGTTTACAAAATGTGGCTCTCGCCTTAGCGCCGCGCACATTCGTTTTGAAACATTCGCAAGAGTTTCACGGATTGAGGGCGGGTCGTTTTCGAAATGTGGCTCTCGCCCTAGCGCCGCGCACATTCGTATTAGAACATTGCAAGAGCTTCACGGATTGAGGGCGGCTCCTTTTCCAAATGTGGCTCTCGCCCTAGCGCCGCGCACATTCGTTTTAAAACTTTCCCAGAATTTCACTGATTCCCATGACAAACCTACCAGAGATTATGCGGGCGCAACGCTTATGTTACTTTGCTGTATTGAAATCCAAAAAATGGCGTTCTGGCACAATTCCGGATCGTCCAGACGCAGCAAGCAGGTTGATGCGTGGCGATGAAATCCCGAGAGCAATGTTTTGGCACGCTTCAAGATCTTCAAACGGTTGTCTTCCAATGGGGCAATTCCCTCAATGGAAATGAACCGTTAGGGGCCTATGAAGAGGGAGCTTGGAGGGAGGGTGAATTCCAACATCGTAGACGACTCTTGGGTTTACACTGGTCCTCCTCCTCCTCCCCCTCCTACTGTTCCAATTCATGCTCCTGCTCCTTCTCCTCGTACTCCTCCTGCTCGCGCTCCTCCTCCTCATTATCCTCGTCCTCATATTCCCATCATCATCGTCCTCCTTCTCCTCATCATCATCACTATTATCATCATCGTCACAACCACCACAACCACCCTAACCACCACCACCACCACCACCACCACCATCATCATCATCATCATCATCATCATCATCATCATCATCATCATCATCATCATCATCATCATCATCATCATCATCATCATCATCATCATCATTATCACCACCATCATCAACATCATCATCACCACCACCACATCCCCACCACCACCACCACCACCATCATCATCATCATCATCATCATCATCATCATCAGCATCATCATCATCATCATCATCATCATCATAATCAGAATCAGCATCACCATCATCATGATTACCAGTATCAGTATCGTCATCGTCATCATCATCATCGTCATCATCATCATCGTCATCATCATCCTAATCCGCATCCTCATCATCCTCATCAGCATCGTCATCATCATCATCATCATCATCGCCAATGCCATCGCCATAACTATCATCGTCATTATCATCGTCATCCTCTTCGTCATCGTCATTACAATCACCATCCTCATCCTCATACTGATTATAATCCTCATCCTGATCATCATCCTCATCCTCATCCTCATCCTCATCCTCCTCCTTATCATCATCGTCACCACCATCACAATCAGAACCATCATCATCACCATCACCATGATCATCACCACCATCATCATCCCGACCCAAGATCCCGGCCCAAGCCGAAGGCTTGTAAGACGGAGGGCGAGGCGGGAGCTAACCCACTTGGATTGTGACACAGTTACTCGTAAGTTACGGGCTGGCGTGTCTGGAGATGATTCTGTCGCAAGCTCGGTGTTCGCACTGCCAGGGTCGAGTTGATCCTCGTACCCCAGGAACGTCTTGCCGGGAGTCTCGTCGTGCTGGCTGCCAACAAGGTGATTGGAACGAAGGACCTCGAGGCCGCACAGGCCTAAGCTGGGGGTGTTGACCTCCAGGATCGACCGAGAAGGGGAGGGCCGCAACCTGAGCCGCCTCCCCTCCCCAGGAGCAGGGGGAAGAGCAAGGTTGAACCGTCGGCTGTCTTCAGGGATGATGCCCAGGAGCTTGGGGGGGGTGAACAAAGGAGGTCCCCAGCGGAAGCGTCCTAGGGAAGGCGGCCTCGATACGGTGGCCCCCGTTGGGGCCCCCGATCGTTCGGTTCGCCTGCGTGTTGCCCTTTCCTCCCAAATGGAGGGGCGGAACGCAGATGGTGACAGCATGGCGCAAGCCATCACGCAAGCGGGCTACAGCGTTCGTGAGCGCGGAGGCCCAACCTTTCCACCGAATGTTGTCAAGCGTCCCAGACATGATATCCAGAGGTGACGTCCCTCCCTCGCCCAAGCCACCATGCAAACTTGTCCTTTGCCGCCGAGGGTAGTTTTCCTGCCAGAATTGGCTCGTGGACATCGTTGTGCGGCGGCGGCGGGGTAGGTGGCTCCGTGCGTGCGTGGTGGATTTCAAAGCACAAGGGTGGCTGGGCACCTCTTGCGCGACTGTCCTCTCCTTGAGCCTACCCGGATCAACGAGAAGGCCCAGAAGACTCGGAAACTGTTTTGGCTGGGCGACACCCCGCGGACGAGGGGAGGTCGGACGGCCGCGCTGCTTCTGCGGCCGGGCCCCCGACGGCTGCGGATCCAGAAGCTGCATGGCCGAGACTAGGGGGGAAACAAACCTACCTCGCTTTTGACCACCCTCGCTTCCAAGAGATACCAGGCGATGCCAAACTACGGCCTCTACTGGTCAGGCCGCTTGACGAGGAGGCGCGTGGCATGACTTGGTTTTTCCTGGAAGCGAAAGCGGGGTAGGCAATTCACGCTCTGAGAGACACTGGGCGCCCGGGGCAGTGCCCACGCCTCCGATCCACATCACACTGCGGCGGCCCGTCCGCGCCTCAGGCTGTACCGGGCCCGGGGGCCCAGTGGGCCGCTGCGGAGCTCGCTGGCGTGCTTGCTTCGCCGGGGTGGTCGGGCGGGGGCGCGAGCAGTGGCGCGCGGCGGCCTCGCGCGCGGCGCGCTCCGCGCCGTCCCCCCTCCGCTCCCCCGCCCGCGAGCCTACTGCTGCAGCTTCAGGCAGGGGCGCCGCCCGCGCCGTGCCGCGGGGGGGGGCTGCCCCGAGATCCCGCGGGTGGGGGGGGGGGGGGCCTCCCAGTTTCGCCTCGAGGGGGGCGTCTTGCCCCTCCTCCCTCTTCGAGGTGTGCGTTTGCGCGTCGCGCGACGCTTCCCGCAAAGTCCTGCCCCTCATCCTTCCTGATTGTGCCCTCCTCTTCCTCAATCCTTCCTACTACTACTCCTCCTCCTCCTCCTCCTCCTCCTCCTCCTCCTCCTCCTCCTCCTCCTCCTCCTCCTCCTCCTCCTCCTCCTCCTCCTCCTCCTCCTTCCCGTCCCTGCCGATTCCTCCTCTTCCTCCTGGCCAGAACAGGCCAGAAAGTGGTCGAAGACATCGACGCACGATCTTCGAACCTCCCTTCTCCCTGGGAGGCCGCCTTGGGTAGGATAGCACCTGGCCGATGAGGGGGCGCCCGCGCGAGCGGCCAAACGCGCACAGCCTCTCCTCTCACGCCGTGGACGCGACCTTGGCGAAGAACGACGGCACGCCAGAGCCGGTGTCGTCCTCTGGACGACGAGTATCGGCGATCGACGATTGACTTATCCTTTCCCCACACGGCAGGCTGGGGCTGCTGGATTTTAGCAAGAAGGCTCCTGACCCGGCTCGACCGCAGCCACCAGGTCCAAAGTGTGCCTCGTCTTCGCTCGGACGTCCATTTTTGTGTTGTTTTCGGTTTCGTGCGTGGTTTTTTCGCCAAATTGTCAAGGATGTTCCTCGATGGCCCTCGCCGAAGGAAAAATGCACACGTCCGAGCGATGCCAAGGTGCTGCCGGTGCTCCCTGGAGACCCCGCCATGTGTCTTCGACGAATGGCGACTGTACGCCGCGGCCGCCGGGCCCCCAAATTGTACCAGCGCTCTCTTTGGCTCCCCCCTCGCACTCTCGGGCGGGGACCGCTCAAAGCAAAATAACGGTTTGTTGTTTGCACTGATTGGGTCCCTGGAGACCTGCAGAAACCTCCAAGGACCTCCAAGCGGAGTCGTCGTCGCCACCGCCGTCGCCACCGCTGGCGCCTGCGCTACCGCCGGCACCGTCGCTGCTGTCGATGTCGCCGTTGCCGTCGCCGTCGCCGTCGTCGTTACTACTCCTCCTCCTCCTCCTCCTCCTCCTCCTCCTCCTCCTCCTCCTCCTCCTCCTCCTCCTCCTCCTCCTCCTCCTCCTCCTCCTCCTCCTCCCCCTCCCCCTCCCCCTCCCCCTCCCTCCTCCTCATCCTGATCCTCTCTCTGATTCCCTCTCCATCTCCTTCCATTCATGGCATGGAAGAGGAACAGGACAAGAAGGAACATCTAAGTGAGAAGAGGGAGGACGGGGAAAAGGGTGAGAAGGATCTGGAGTAGATCCTCTCGTTCTTGCGCCAGCCCCTCCTCGCTTTCATCATCCGCGTTCTCCTCCCCCTCGCCCGTTATTATCATTATGTCGCCCTCTCCATCCTCTTCCTTCGTCTTTATGTTCCTCCTCCTGCTCTTCCTGCTGCTCGTCCTGCTGCTCGTCCTGCTGCTCGTACTGCTGCTCGTCCTGCTGCTCGTCCTGCTGCTGCTGCTCCTCCTCGTCCTCCTTGTCCTCCTCGTTCTCCTCACTCTCCTCCTCCTCCTCCTCCTCCTCCTCCTCCTCCTCCTCCTCCTCACCACCATCATCATAATCATCCTCATCATCATCAGCAGCAGCAGCATCATTATCATCAACATCATCATCACCATCATGATTCCTCATCATCATCATCATCCTCATCATCCTCTTCGCATCATCATCATCAGCATCATCAGCATCATCATCATCAGCATCATCATCAGATTAATCAGCATCGTCGTCATCATCATCAGCATAATCACCATCGTCATCATCAGCGTCACCATCATCAGCATCCTCACCACCATCAGCATGATCATGCGCAGCATCATCATCGTCCTCAGCAGCATCATCTTCAGTGACATTAACCTGATTATCGGCAACAGCGTCATCCTCAGCAACAGCAGCATCACCATTACCATCATCATCGTCATCATCATCAGCATCGTCATCCTCATCATCACTCCTCATCCTAATCATCATCGTCAGCATCATCCTCATCATCGCCGTCATCATCAGCATCATTATCAGCGGCACCGTGCTCATCATCATCATCATCATCAGCATCGCCATCATCACCAGCATCGGCATCAGCATCAGCATCATCATCATCATCATGATCATCGTCACCATCGTCATCGCCGTCTTTATCTTCATAGCATCATCACCAGCATCACCATCATCATGATGATCATCATCATCCTCATCATCAGCACCATCAGCATCGTCGTCAGCATCATGGTCATCATCAACATCATCTTCATCCCATCCTCCTCCCCCTTCTCCTACTCCTCCTCCTCCCAACTTCCTCCCCCTCATCCTCTTTCCGCTGCGTCGGACTTGTGCGCGATACCAGAATACCTCGTCCTCTTGTATTAAGATTCGTATGATTTTTCTTCCTGCTCCTCCTCCTCCTCCTCCTCCCTCTCCTCGTCCTCGTCCTCGCCTCCTCCTCCTGCTCGTTCTCGTCGTTCTTCTCCTCCTCCTCCTCGTCCTCCTCCTTTCCCTCACTGCACCTGCCCTCCCCGACCATTATCCCCCCCTTATCACTCCGTCTACTCTTCCTCATCCTCCTTCTCCTCCTCCTCCTCCTCCTCCTCCCCACTCATCCTCATCCTCATCCTCATCCTCATCCTCATCCTCCTCATCATCATCATCATCATCATCAGCAGCAGCAGCAGCAGCAGCAGCAGAAGCAGCATCAGCATCATCATCGTCCGCATCATCCTCAACATCATCAGCATCGCCATCACCATCACCGTGACCATCACCATCACCATCACCATCACCACCACCACCACCACCACCACCACCACCATCATCATCATCATCATCATCATCATCATCATCATCATCATCATCATCATCATCATCGTCATCATCATCACCAGCATCAGCATCAGCATCATCATTACTTCCTTAGTTCGTCCCCAGACCCACCTCCCATGTCGCCCTCCTCCCCCCATCTACTCCACCATCTTCCGCCCTCCTCCCCCCTCTGGCCCTCCCCCTCCCCCTCGTTCTACTCCTTCTCCTCCTCACCTCCAGCCGCCCCTGCTCCTGAGTCACTCTCTCCTACATGGTATCCCAGGGCCGATTGAGAAATGCATTCGCCCGCTTCTTCCTCCCCTTTCATCCTCCTCGTCCACGCCCTGCTCCCCCATCTTCCTGCTCCCCCTCCCCTTCGAACCCTCGGACAGGGGTCCTGCTCCCCCTTCTCCACCGCCTCCTTGCGCTTGCTCCAGGCCTCGTGCGCATCGTTCTTGCCGCGCTCCGCCACCTCCGCCACGAG